CCAGCTCCAGGTTGAGCTGTTGTTCAGCATCTTAGCTGTGGAGGGCAGTGTCACTGGCCCTCATATGTGGGATCCAAACTGGGGCCATCTGGCATTCCAAGCCAGTTCTTAACCATCGCGCCACTCAGCTGGCCCGTAATGTTTTTATATGACAGAAATTGCAATACCAGAAGTGATGTGTGACCCGGAGTCTTTCCATTGTGATAAAAAAATATGGCGAATGCTGCTGTTGACTGCCATCCAATGGAAAGGCAGGGATCTTCAATACAGGAAGTGTCATGACAAACCTTAGTAACAGTGTGTGACAAGATTCAACTTGTTCGGTGCAGTCAGTTGGGTGAGCTACTGTTGAGAAAAGGTGTGCATTAAAATGTGCCATGAACCATCCTCCATGATGACAATGTTCTGTGTCACACATCGCTTCTGGTATATGGCAATTTCAGTCAAATGAAAACATTATGGCATGTCCTCATCCACTTTATTAACCAGATCTGGCACCATGTGACTTCTGGCTCTTCTCCAAAGTCAAAATGATTCAGGACATTGAGGCAGCCACGACAGGGCAACTAAAGACACTCACGAAAGAGGACTTCCAGAACTGCTTCAGAAAGTGGCAAGAACAATGGGACAGGTGTGTTCAAGGGAGGGTATTTTGAGGTGGATTAGTGGCACTGTGTCTTTTACTGTAATAACTTTTTATATATAAACATTCACCATATAGTTTGATCACACCTTGTATATCATACTAAATTTCCCCATTATAAACATCTTACATTAATATATTTGCTATAATGATACAATATTGATTCATTATAACATGTTAACTGAAGTCCACACTTCATTTATTTCTTTAGAGCTTGCCTAATGTCTTTTTTTTTAATTGGGGAATTGGGGGGATGGGAACAGCACTGGGGAATTGGGGGAAGGGGAACAGACAAGGTACTGTCGTTTTGTTCTTCAGTCTAGTTGTGGAGGACNTGAGGGCCAGTGACACTGCCCTCTGCAGCTAAGATGCTGAACAACAGCTCAACCTGGAGCTGGGCTGCCATGAGTCGCCGGCGATGGCGTAGGCTATAGCCCCTGCTGCAGTGGGCTGCCATAAGCTACCATGTGTAGCCAGCAGCCAGCATGAGTGGCCAGCTGCCGCAGCGAGCAGCTGTCCAGAGGTTAGCAACTGATCTGCCTTGCCCAGGAAGAGCGCAATGATGGTGCCAGCTTGGGCCAGTGAAACAACAGCCTCCACAACTAGACTGAAGAACAAAACAACAGCAACTTGTGTGTTCCCCTTCCCCCCAATTCCCCAATAAAATCTTCAAAAAAAAAAAAGAAAAGAAATACAAATTGGCAGTTACAAAAGTCACAGGAATGTAAACTACAACATAGAGACTATAGTTAATATTTAATAACTATGTATGGTGTCAGGTAAGTGTTAGACTTATTGGGGGATCACTTCTTAAGTATATAAATGTCTAACCACTTTGCTGTATACCTGAAACTAATATAATATTTAATGTCAACTGTAATGGACAAATAAATACAAAAACATTTTTTTAAAAAGGAAAAAAAGAATGTATGAATGAATCAACTGTCTGAGCGCCTCAGCAGTCACCTCCTAAAGGAGAATAGTCTAAAACTATCAGTGGCTGTCAATATCTCCAAAATCTGGACCTTTTGAAATGCAACTCTTCAATTAATTTTCCATTTTTAAAAGTACCTTACATGAAGTTCTTTAGTAAGACTAGCAAGATGATCCCTCGTTGTTCTATTGATACTATGCTGTGTGAGGAATGTATAAATTTAAGAGCATTTAATCTGGCTCAAACAGGAAAAGATATTAGTGGAATAGATTGCTAATAAAGTCATTTCATACTAATATTTAAATTCACTCTATTTGATATCAAACAATACATCTTTACTTATACTTTTACTGACCTTGAATATTATGAATGTTTCCATCATGAGACTTGATGGTGAGTGTCTGTCCCGGGTTAACTTGTACCAATATAATCTAGAAATAAACCATTATTTGATGACATACTTTTCTGTTAATTAATCTATGAAAAATCATTATTGTCCTTTTGAAAAACATCAGATTCACTAATTATTGAGGACTTGTGATTCTCAAAGACAAAAGTACAATTGAGTTCATGGTCACTTAGGACAAATTCAATACCCCTAAGTAAAAACAGGTCCTCCTCCACCCAAGTAAAAATATAATAAAGTCATAGAAAGTAGGTATATTGATGTGGAAAGACCAACTCTCCCCCCAAAAAAGAACCCTGACAAAAATAAAAAATAAAAAAAGAAAAGAAAATGAAACTTATCTGAAGGCAAAATTCATACATACTTGTTGTATCCAGTATTGAGGACAAGAATTCCACCCGGTATATCTTTTGGGATGAGCCACCACTTGTGAAAAATTAGTAGTATATTGCATCCCATCAGTGGTGTTCAGATGAAACCTTTCCATCTAATAAAAAATAGTAATTTAAATTTCAATAAGGTCATTATAATCTCAGTTCCTTTTGACGTTATCAAAATTAAAAGCTAGAAGTACAATATTTGCTCATTTTTAAACTCCAAAGAAAAGTTAAGTGATCTTTTCACATTATGTATGTAGATAAAACTTTTCTTGAATAGCTTATTTTAAATGAGTAAGTGTTAAATCTAAACTCTACCCTCTCTTTCTTTTTTAAAAAAATATTTTATTATTGGGAAATTGGGGGAGGGAAACATCATTGGGGAATCAGGGGAGGTGAACAGATAATCCGCCATCCCCCTGTTCCTCAGTCTAGCTGTGGAGGACGGTGCTTCACTGGCCCATGTTGGCACTATCATTGCGCTTTTCCCGGGAAGGCAGCCGCCCCCCAGGCACTGGATGGCCACCCACAGTGGCTCACAAAAGGGCATGCCAGCTGCTGGCCAACCCCACCACAGCCCACACCGTTGCCGGCGACTCACAGCAGCCCAGCTTCAGGTCGAGCTGCTGTTCACCATCTTAGCTGTAGAGGGCAGTGTCACTGGCCCCCATGTGGGATCTGAACCAGGGCCCTGCTGCTCAGTGCTGGCATCCCAAGCCAGCTCTTAACCAATGCACCACTCGGCCGGCCCAAGAAAACATTTTTTATACTGAAGCTTATTCAAGCATGCACTGAAAGGCTATTTATGTTTTTTAGCAGTAAAATATTTTAACTTTATTAATAACCCTTGAATATATGTATTTCCCTTTTTTGAGTAAACTTTATCATTTAGAATAGTGTCAAATTTACAGAAAAATTTCAGAGGTAATACAGGTAGTTCTCATATACAAGGTGTGAACAAACAATACAGTGAATGTTTAAATAAAAAAATTATTACAGTAAAAGACACACTGCCATTAATTCCCCTCAAAATACTCCCCTTCGCTTCAAACACACTTATCCCATCATTCTTGCCACTTTCTGAAGCAGTTCTGAAGTCCTCTTTCCTGAATGTCTTTAGTTGCACTGTCATGGCTGCCTTCATGTTCTGAATTGATTCAAAACATATACTTTCGGGCCGGCTGAGTGGCGTGATGGTTAAGAACTCGCTTGGGATGCCAGAGGGCCCCAGTTCGGATCCCACATATGAGGGCCAGTGAACACTGCCCTCCACAGCTAAGATGCTGAACAACAGCTCAACCTGGAG